TTTACTTTAGGGCAAAGATATATTTATTTATTTATAATACAATGTCTAGATACAAAGCTATCTATAGATATCTATTCCTATAAAATCCTAATATTTTAGAACATTGCAGAGAACAAATCCTAAAGTTAAAGAAAGGGTAAAAGCTAGAGTTTATATAGCTTTTACAACATATACCAAAAGAATATAAAACAATAAGAAACTATAAGAAATAATAAGAAACGTTAAGAAACATTAAGAAACATTAAGAAACATTAAGAAACATTAAAAAACATTAAAAAACATTAAAAAAACATTAAGAAATATTAAGAAATATTAAGAAACATTAAAAAACATTAAAAAACATTATAAAGAAATATTATAAGTATGGATTTACAGCTTATTATTTATCACTTCTTGGCTTATCTTTGTTTATCAATTGCCAGTTATCTGTTAGTCTGTTTATTATGTATTATAGCTTGTTTTGATCATCATGGTCTTCTGGATCTAATAGAGATAAAATCTTTAACATGTTCTATAATGTTAATACATTCTATAACACTAGATTAGTTTTAGTAAACCCTACTTTTATGTGCTAACAAAAGTTGTTTTTTAGATTGAGACAATTCTAATAATAGTAAAATTATCAAAAATAACCTACTAGATTATCTGCAATAGTTCTTCAAAATTTAAATCACTGTTTTATAACTGTAAACAAATATAAACAAATATTTTAAAACTTTGAAGAATTATTACAAATGATCGAGTAAGTTGTTTTTGATAATTTTACTATTATTAGAATCATCTCAATCTGAAAAACAACTTTTGTTAGCATATGAAAGTAGGTTTACTTAATACTAAATCTAGTTTAAAAGTATTTTTTAATTTTTACTCTATAATACAATTAGAATATACCAAATTAGAGCAAATTAGTAAATCTGGTTCTAGAATGATCTGTACAAATTTAATTGGCTTTTGTATAACTTCTTGCCAGTAGGGTTGGGGCACAAGAGTGTGATTTCAAGTTGTTATACAGGCATGGAATGTAATATTATTCATCATATATAAATTACTAATTACATGTAATATTTTACTAATCTGTGCTATGTGATGATTTAGAGTGTTATACCATGCCCTATGTGATGATTTTCTATGCTCCAAATGAATAATATTAATTTGTATCAATTATATATAAAATAATATTTTTAGGCCAAATTATGGGAAAATTGATATTTTTGCAAATTTTAATGCAGTGTAACAATTGTTCTCACTATAACCTTTTATTCCAAATTATTAATTCCTCTATTTTAGAAACTATTTTGAATGCCAATTTTGATCTTGCTTCTCATAAACTTAATTACTTAATATATACAATTTCATCTCATTCTTCTTTCTCTTTTTACCCTTCTACTCTCTATCCATACTCTCTTCACTCTACTCTTAAAGGTCTTATTCCCTCTCTGCTCATCCAATGCATATTACCATTTGACATATCTTATTCCAGCTAATTATCAAATTCTTATTAAAATTTCTAATCAAATCTATGAACAAATATGAAAATCATACTGTATTAACTTTTCTACTTGAAAAAAAGCACACCAAATATCATCTAATTCTACTTCTATTTAAGTTAGTCAATGATCTCCTACTCATATTTATACTAGAACTCGTAACACTTTCACATATAACTATCCATGCAACTTATCTGATCAACTATATTCTGATTCCTTTTCTTGCCCCCAGCTGGGCTCGCTAAACTTGAATTTAATATCTGGTCCACTTTGTGGATCCAGTTCAGTATTCCCACTAATTATATATTAACCATTCAAATCTAGATAAGTCTTGACCACTCTAGTAGGTATAGGTCACAGATAAATTAGTCTGAGCTTTTATACTTGCATATAGTTTATATTTATTCATTTATATATAAATTAAGTCTTTATTCAGTTTTGTTTCTTTATGATTACTTATATAAATTACTTAATAAAGATATAAGCAAGGCCTTATCTTTTAATATTAAAAAAAAAAAAAAAAATAAGTCGAGAAACTACAGCACCTGTTATTTAGAGGTAGTTCTCATATGCTACCTGCTAACAAGCCCAGAGTTTATCACTCACTGTTGCAACGGGAGCACTTGTCGTTTAGAAGTAGTTCTTATATGCTACTTGTCGACAAGCTTAGAGTTTATTATTTACTCTTTAACATTCTTTAAGTACTCACCCTTCGCTCAATCAACAAGTCACTGATATACTTGGCAAGAAAAGTATATATACTCCTTTGGTTTGGAACTAGTAGTTTTTTTCACCGCTATCGCTTCTTGCCAACCTCACCAAAATTTTCAACAAAAAGTGAGCAATCCAGCTTACTTCTTTCAAAAGATTGGCATTGTTTATACTTTCCATTTTCAGACAAACGAAATAGAACATAAATACAGGATTGTTTTGACAATGATATATCTACACCACATGACAAACCAATTGGTGCTCTGGTTAACAAACTGACCCAAACCGGACAGTAAAGTCAGAAGAGACTTAATGATAAGACTAAGCTTTACAATGGAGATATACAAGATTTTTAAATTTAGTATATAATTTTTATAATTGTACCTAACACAGGCTATAATAGTATTTTTATAAATTGTTTTTTTCTGCCTTTTTCTTCTTGTTTCATTTTTTTTCTTTTGCTTATTTTCTTATTGCTTAGGCAGTTTTTTTTCTTTCCCTCTTTTATATTGTTCCCTTTATCTTTAGTGTTAGTGTTTTTTTTCATAAGTTAGTTGGAGACTATGAATCCTTTTGCTCGCGAAGCTAGAGGAAGAAAGTTTAGAAAAGATAGCAGTCTTGATAGGCCATAAATACCATTTGGTGACAACTTTTTCTCGTAACACTGCCTGAGAGCTCGAGAAAAATACGCCAGTTGTTCATAAATGAAATACTTACTCCTGACTGCGTCAGTCGTGGCGTATTTCATTTACTCCGCCTTCTGTTGTACTATAACCAAATTCATCAACTCAGAGAATTGAAAAACTTATAAATATAGAAGGAAATTTTCACAGAGGAAAAATTTCCACAGAGGAAAAAATTCCACAGAGGAAAAATTTCCACAGAGGAAAAAATTCCACAGAGGAAAAATTTCCACAGAGGAAAAATTTCCATAGAGGAAAATTCTCAAACACGAAAATTCTCAAACGAAAATTCTCAAACACGAAATTCTCAAACACAAAAATTCTCAAATACAAAAAATTATGTCTTCTTCTAATTTGTATAAAATTGAAGATAATCAATTCATTTCTTGTCAACAAGAAAGATGTAATTACAAACATCGCACACCAAAAAATAAACATCAAAGTATTATTAAACATTATAGTAGATGTCACTCTGAAATCTATA